GTGTGAAGTTTGAAGAGAGAGCATAGTCTGGGTGACTATGGGAGTTTTTGAGTCTATTCTGTCTAAATAAGACAAACAGTTTAAGTCTGTGTGAATATGAGTTTTGAGTCTATTCTGTGTGAATAAGACAAACAGTTTAGTCTGTGTGAATATGAGTTTTGAGTCTATTCTGTGTGAATAAGACAACGAGTTCAGCCTGTGTGGCTATATAGATGAGAGAGAGAGAGATTAGACTCAGTGTCTACGCCTGTCAGAGTGGAGTTTTGGGCGTCTGAGAGACTGCTTGTGACACCAAGCTTTGCCAGTTATATTTACAAGTTCCTTTCATCAGCAACACTTCAAAATAAGCAGAAACCTATTTTGTTCTTTATTTAATAAATCATTTTTTTTTGTTTAAACTTATCCCAGAAATCAGAATAGTCCTTCCTCAGGGCCACATAGTCCACTGAAGTGCCCAGACCCTGGGTCATTCTACCAAAAGAGAGAGATTTGGAATTTTTAATTCCTGGTGGCAGCAGAAATCTACCAAGTTTAGTTACACAGAGAGTGTTTTAAAAGTAAAACCGTCTCCCCAATAAGCGGGGACACCACAGCTACATCTACTTTTTCCTGTCAGCTTTCTTCATTGTCCAGCTTTCACGCCCGGACACAGGAATAGGGAATATTACAAGACCAGAGAGAAACCTTCCTGTAGGTCAAAGTCTGAGTCCAGCGGAACCTTTTAAGACCAACAAAGTTTAATTCCGGGTATAAACTTTCGTGTGCACGCACACTTCTTGAGACACACCTCTTGAGATATCTGAAGAAGTGCACGGGCACACGAAAGCTTATACCCGAAATGAAACTTTGTTGGTCTTAAAAGGTGCCGCGGGACTCCGACACTGTTCTGCTGCTTCGGACCAACACGGCAACCCACCTGAGTCTATCTTCACGGCAGGGCTCTTTTTGTAGAAAAAGCCCAGCAGGGACTCATTAGCATAATTGGCCACATCCAACAGCAGAAACGTATTATCTTATTAGGACCCACACCCCTGACTGCACAGGTCATTAGCATATGAGGCCACACCCCCGTGTTACCAGAAGTGTGCTCATCCAGCCACACCCACCTTTTGCTTCTTATTCTGTTGACCTTGTTTGTTGTCCAAACCCAGGGCCTTTTTTTGTTGCAGGGACTCCTTATGTTAGGCCACACACCCCTAATGTAGCCAATCCTAATGAGTTTCTGCTGTTGGGTGTGGCCTATTATGCTAATGAGTTCCTGCTGGGTGTGGCCAACTCAGGAGCCAGCCAGAACTCCGTTCCTGTGCGTTCCTGCCCCAAAATAGCCCTGCTTCACGGTACTCTATGCAAGGTTTAACGCGGCCCTTGTGATGGAACTTGACGTGTTGTGGGGAACTTAGAATGTGAGGTCGGTTTGATGGGAGGAAACGGGAAAAACAAGGAAAATGTACCAGGATTCCTGATCTCTTTTGTGGGCAGAGAATGAATGGATTGGGGGCGGAGGGTCGCGGGAGACAGAAAGATGGCCACCGACGGATTGGGCGGCAATGTTCCCTCTCAGCTGAGTCAGTGTGAGCCAGCTCACAGTTTTTTAGCCTCCAGCTCACACCTTTTTGTCTTAGCTCAGGAAGGAGGGCTCCGGAGCAAACTGATCTATGCAGCAGCCAAATCGCTCGCTCACAACTCCAATGCCAGGAGCTCACAAAGTAGAATTTTTCTCCGTGATTCTCTGAGAATCACTGAGGGACTTCTTTTATTGATTGATTGATTGATCGTTCGATTTATATCCCACCCTCCCCAGAACAGGCTCAGGGCAGCTAACAATTAGGGCACAAAGCCAAGATTAAAACACTAAAAACAGAATAAAACAATCCAATAATACATAAAGTATAGGTGTTCTAGATGTCGCTACAGTCCTCTAGGTGTCACTTCAATCCTCAATTCCAAGATGGGTTCTGGTAAAATAAGCGCAGAACAACGGCGTAAGTTCCGTAACAACACTGCCATCCAATCTTCGTCCCAGGGCCGTCTTGCACCTCGGTGGTACCCACACCGTTTATGTTGCCAGTGCAATGGTGGTACAGTGGCGGCGGAGGCTCCTACTCAAAAGCCTGGCAGAAGAGCTCCGTCTTGCAGGCCCTGCGAAACTGTGCAAGGTCCCGCAGGGCCCGGGTCTCCTCTGGGAGCTCATTCCACCAGATAGGAGCTGCCACCAAAAAGACCCTGGTACTGGTCACAGCAAATTTGACATCTCTGGGGCCTGGGGTTACCAGAAAATGTTGGGTCCCCGACCGTAGTGCCCTTGGGGGAACATATGGGGAAAGGCGGTCCCTTATGTATACAAAAACAAATATGGTCACAGTCCATAGACATGCAAAAATAGAACCACAAGAACTGTACACAGTGCGCTCAATATTTCTTCAACGAAAACCGTAAAGTTATAAATATGAAGTGTACAAAAGTGATAATAATACATTCAAATGTGTAAGTTCAGATACATAAAGATGGAAGATGACAACGACGGGACGGTGGTCTCCGGAATGCGATGCCGTTTTCGACAAACGTCTTCTTCTAACCAAGAGTCTATAAGTTGATGATGTATGAAAAATTGCACTTCAATGGAAAAGCTGCCCAATTCACATGGTGTTCAAACACATAAGCTTTATTCTGTTTGAGAGATGTTCTTCTCCATTACTTATGCAATGAAATAG